CTGTGGCGGTGCCGCCTGCGCGGCCTCGCCGCTCCGGGGCCTTGGGCAGGGCCTCCCGGCCGCGGTGAGCCGGGGGCAGGGGCCGGCGCCGCCCCGGGGCGGCCGCGTGGCGGCAGCTCCCGCTGGGGAGCGTTTCCCGGTAGTCGGGGAGAAGGGGACGCTGCGTTTCCATGTCGGCGGCCTTTGTCAGGTGACTCGCTCGGAGCTGCGGTTGCTGCAGACCGGCCGGGAGCAGGAACCCTCCTGACGGCGCCTGCACCCGGAGGCCGAGCCCGGGTAGAGCAGCCGTGCGGTCTGGCTCCTCTTCCAAAGCTCTTTCTTGGAATGGGCTTAATCTGCAGCACGGCTTGAAAACAAGTGAGAAGGTGTAACTGGGTGATGGGGAAGGTTCGGGGGACACAGATAGCAGCACCTCTCCCCCCGTCCCATGGTAGTGCTTCATGGTAATCATCAAGGATGATGCAACCTTTTTTTTTTTTTCCTGCTTTTCTACCTATGGAGCAGTTTCTACAGACCGCAGACTTGCCTGGTCTCATGTCCTCTTTGTGATCAGAGCTGATGGCAGATGATTCAGAGGCTCATAAGTCTCTGGATATTAAATATGGAGTAACTTCTTCTAGCAAATTTCATTCCATTGCTGTTTCCAATGGCTAAGCTTGATTTAGGCCTTGAAGCAGAATGTTTAAATGTACTTTAACTGCAGAGGTTTTCCCTTGCTTGTCTTTTTCCTGTGATTTCTTGGTCATCTCCAAAGTAAAAGTCCAGTCCCTGGATTCTTATTCATGTCTCAGCCCTTAGTGGCATGGGATACCCAGTTGAAGATCATTTCCTTCTGTTTGGTTTATTTTCTAGCTTCTCTGGGGCATAAAAGAAGCTTTGGAGCTACTGTCTGTATTGTAGAGTAGTGCCTTGTGGTGTAAAACGTGTATTTCTATTAATGCCAGGGAGCTCAGTGAAGTTTGCGGCAATGCCCAGTGTGTATCCGGCTTCATCTGCAGGCTGGCACTTCTCCTGGTTTACTTCTGTAGGTAGCCTGTTGTCTTTGTTAGGTGGCAAAAATATTAAATGCCTTGTTAGTGATACCCATCTCCCTGCTCCCCACACAGCCTGCATCCCCCTGGCCTTCAGCTGGCAGGAAGAGCCTTAAGGGTTTTGGAAGGGCCAAGTTCAGCTGCGCTGTGGCCTCTGTGATGTGGATGTAGCAAGGGAAGGTAGCTCTTTCTTCAGAGGTAGATAAGGGCAGAGTGGAAAATGTTGCTGAAAAAGCAATTCTCATTCCCTAGTCCTCGCTGTTTTCTGTGTGGCTTCAAAATTGGGGGGGGGGGGGGGGAAGGTCAGAGAAAGAAAACTGTCTTGTTCACTTGATCACTTTTTTCTTCATTGATTCTTATCCATCTAACGGAGGTACCTCAGACCTTTCTAGAGATGAGCATAGCCATTTAGACTAAAATGCTTAGCTTGTGTTGATGCAGTAGCTTGTACTTTATTGGATGTGCTCCCCACAATTGAGGGCTCTTGTGTGTTGCTTGCAGCAAAAGGCAACTAAGCTTTTGTGATACTTCCTCAAACTTCAGGCATGTGGCTCAGGATGTGTGTGTGTGTCTGGTACTTGCTAGCAGCCAACTCAGGTACAAACTATTCATATAGGTCTGTGGTTGCTGCAGCAGGCTGGAAGGAAGGGGTAAGTTGATGAACTCGGGCTTTGCAAACTGGAAAGTAAATAAGAGCTTTGCAGTCTGCTCCAGCGCTACGTGGCCCTTGAGCTGAGCAAGGAACCTGCCTAAGCTGGGCATGTGGCAGGGGAGAGGGCACTTCCAAGGCTGCAGTGAGGGTTAAACAATGTTCCGCTGTTACCAGCTGTGCTCTAATACAGCAGTATCTGAAGTGGTTAGAGCAAATGGCAGTAACCATTGTGTTAGTAATGTCTTTTTTCCCAAAGCCCTAGTATGAATTCAGGAGACTGCAGCATTGGTGACAAGCTCTCTGTCATAGCCATCATTGAGCTATTGAATTAAATGGTGTTGTGATACTGGCAGTTACAGACTAGTCCTTGCACTGTCAGTTTCTTATGTTAGACCTCTTGTGGAGTAAAATTCACAGATACAGCAGAGATTTATTGACAGAAAATGCTTGCTTTACCATTGGAAATTTTCTAGAGTTTGTAGTTATTCAATTGTCTGGAAAATAGATCCACTTAGCCATGGATACTGCTGCAGTGTTATGGCTTTTGCCTTATGCTTCAATGAGCTTCTGGATTTCTTGCACTTTCAGTGGTTAATTATAGAGAGAGAGCTTTGTAAGAGATGCAGCCATGTTAATTAGCACAGGTAACTCTTCTGTTGGCAAGACTAAAATCGGGTTGTTTAGTTATTGTGCATGATTTGAATATTGGTGAGGTGCGCTGTCATAGAGGTGCTTTCTAACCGATGCTTCTGTCTCATAACCCGCTGCTCGTAGCAGGATTATCACCAGTGTTAGGTCAGGCTGCCCTTGGTTTTGCCTAGATGAGTGATGAAAGCCTCTACCAGGAGAGTTTCTACCACTTACCTGGACCTGATCAAAGCAAGGACAGTGTGACAGGGAACTGGGTTTTCCATAGGTAGAAGTGTATTATGGAGAACAAACAGAGATTATTGTCTGGGGCTTTGCTTGGAGGTCCTGCTTACAGAGCAAGAACCAGAGAAATAGCAGCTGAGAGAGAATGGAGAGAGGAAAAAGGGGTGTTCCAAAGCAGCAGTCAGTAAATTGCTCTTAAATTAGAACCTCTGCAAAGAGTCAAATTTTAATCTCTGCCTTTTATAGGTATGTATGTGGCTTCCAAGCCTGGGATGTATGGAGGTAATTGATGCCGAAGATGTGCTTTTGAGAACACTAGGGTGATGGGGTTAGTGTCCTGTTAGCTCTTTACCAAGACATTGAGTCGCAAGGTAGAGACCAGGAGCTTTCTGAACACGATAGATGAAAGGAACAAATACAAACAGCTGAACTTATTGAAGTTGCAACCTTGGCCATCCTGCTGCAGGAATTGCTGAGTACATAAAAAGTATTTGGCAAGACTTGAGAAGATGTAATTGAGATACAAGGTCACTGCTGAGTTGCTACCTGAAAACAAAATGCAAGTCTGGGAGAGCCTGGGAGGCCCTAGCAAGATGTTAGACTGTGCCTAAGTAGTAGTTGAATGGTGCCTTTCCCTGTAAGGAGCTAGCTCCTGGTGGGGACAGCATTAGGTTTCTGACAAGCACAGTATGAGTTGCTGGAGACACAAGGAGGGACTTGGGGGTTGTTTGGAGTGAAGCAGGTTTGGGACCTCTTGGAAGACAACTTACAGACTGACTGAACTTGCAGGCTGAAGAGAGCAGTTTAGAGAAGCCCCTCCCTGGTCGAGGGTAAGGAGTAGCTGCAGTAGTGAGGATTCATTACAGCTGCATGGCTGTAAGCAGTGAGTTTTAATGTGCGTGGTAAAATGGTGTGATGCTTGAAAAGGCAAATGAATGAGAGTTGTTTGAGTAGAGAAGGCCTGGGATGCTTCTCTTTAAGGAGAGGTGAGAGGAAGGGGGGCAATGGGGATGGGGGGGGAAAAAGGCTGTTTTCTTCACTTTTCTATGTCCTGGCAAGTTATTTTTACCTTGCAGAGCGCTCTGTTTGTGCTTTGCTTTGCTTATCTGAAGCTTCTCCTTGTTAGGGTTTTGTGGCTCTGCAGCTGGCTCATAGCCTATGATTCGGTGAGTGTGGGAAGGGTGTCTGGCTGTAGCCTGTGTGCTCCAAGGCTTTGCCCGCAGCTCTGGAAGGAGCGGCAGTACCTGCTGTCAGCGTGGTCATGCCTTGCCAGTCACCTGAAGCTTTTTCTTGTTGGATACTTCACACTGATTCTTGACCCACCAGTTCTGGAAGAGGAGGGAGAAGTTGATCATATTCTGTCTTGTGGCTTTGCTCTTTGACAAACAGAACAGTACTGGTGCTCATAGGCTCCCCATAGCCCATCTTTTCCCTGTTTGGGAGCCAGAAGCATTCTCCCTTACACATGTGTGTTTTGAAAAGCAGAATTGAAAAATGCCGTATAACCCTAGCTGAAAGTAGGATCGCTGCGATATTACAGTTTTAGGGAAGAAAGCTGACATAAGCTAAAGCATTTCTTGGAGAGCAGGGATTAATCACCTTCACAAAGAATATGAAGTGATGGTCTTGGTCTGAGAGGAAGCATGGTGCAGGCCTATAGGAATGGATTATATTAGGTTACTTACTGTGCTTTGTCTGCAGCAAGTTACAAACTACTAATTCAAATTTATGCACAGGTGAACAGAAGACTCTTACATCCTGTATATGAGTTAAAAAACAGACTGTACTGATGCTTTCAGGTCTATATGGCTAAGTTTGCATGTATTAATTGTGTTGTAGAGGCTCTGTGCTCTGAGCTATGGAGACTCAGTTTGAGCAAGTCTGGCAGCTTCATAAGAATAACTGACATGATGGTCTTTTCTTCCAGCCAACAACACAGCAATCTCCTCAGGATGAGCAGGAAAAACTCCTGGATGAAGCCATTCAGGCTGTGAAGGTGCAGTCTTTCCAGATGAAGCGATGCTTGGTAAGAATGTGGCTTTTCCAAACGCAGTGAAATTCTTTATCTGCTAGCAGCAAACCAGCAAGTCAATACTAATCTCCTCTGCTGTGAGGAAACTTAACCCTTTATGGATCTTTGTGGCAGAGGTTTTACAAAGAAAGTAGCTGCTCCATTGGAATGAACCATGAGTGCTCTTTTCATGTCACTTCCTGATATTTTTTGTTACCATAGTTGACGGGCTAAAGTGTAAAGGTGGCTCCCTACTTCACATGTTTGCACTAGAGTAAGCCTAAAGTGAAATTAAGCAGCCATTTGTCTTCAAGAAGTTACTGCTCTGAATTCATTTAGTGGGGAGTTATGTGATGTGAAGTGATTCCTGTCTGCCTCCAATGTGCTTATGCACTTCTCTTGTAGTCTTTTCTTTGTGTGAACCGAGACTGCGAGTTGTCAGCAGGATAGCCTGTCTGCTGCTGTACGATGTACTTTGTAGAGATAAGTTGTAGCTTGATGTATGGATTTTTCAGTGATGCAAAGTGTCAAAGGCTCCTGTTGGAGCCAAAAGCCAAATTTGAGTATTTGAAGCCAAAGAGCTTCAAACTGTAAGCAGTGCAGGTAAGCTAGTATGCTGCTTTCTTGAATTTGGGAAGGCTATTTTCATTTAGAGGACTACTTAAAATTATGGTGAAAAAAAATGAATTATTCTCATGTATTCTCATGTGCCTAGACTATTTTGCAGGCAAATACCAGTAGCAACAAAGTTAACTTCTCTTCTGATTCTAAATTGCAAAGAGATTTTCACTGCTGTGGCTGAGTGACAATTGTACTTTCTGTTAGGAAGGCTCTGGGAGTTTCTTCATTTTTTTCTTTTTAATGTTGAGTTGAACAAATATAAATAGACTAGAAATTTCTTAAACCTGTGGTACCATATAACTGTATGATCTTTTGTTATATACAGCCTAATAAGCTGGCTTTCAGGAAAGTGTTAGGTGAGGAGGAGAGGGGAAAAGAGAAGTCTTGCACTCATTCTTAGTGGCCCCCACATTTCTTCTCTGGAGGATGTAAGGGAGATGACCAGGTGAAAAAAAACTTGGTTCAATTTTATTTGCTGAATAAAATCAGTGGTGAGTGGGAGTTTCTGCATAAGCAAAGTCTTTGGGTGCTCTGTACCATTGTACTGCAGTTTGTGTCTGTAGCTCTAACTTTTTAAGCTAAAACTGTGTGTCATCTTACTATCTTCAGTTATAATGTCCCACTTAGGGTGAGCAATGTTGTGCAAGCCAGATGCTTCAATCAGAGTGGTGTGATTTAGTTCAACTTCCCTGATTGTTAATCCATGTGTGGTGTTTTTATTTTGTTTTTTAAAACTAGTTTATCTTGTAAAGCAAGTGTATTTTTGTAAAGATATTGTAGTTACCTAGCATTACTTATAGATTATTCCTTTTTTTTGCTTCTTCCCAAAGGACAAAAACAAGCTCATGGATGCTCTGAAACATGCTTCCAACATGCTTGGGGAGCTCCGGACTTCCATGTTATCTCCGAAGAGCTATTATGAGCTCTGTATCCTTTAAAGATTAGGGAAATGATTGAAATGATGTTGCACTTGGAGATTTTTTTCTGGGGGAGGGAGGAGAACAACAAAGCAACATCTCCTTGGTCTTTGGATATTTGCTAGAATTCTTCTGCTCGATATCTAGTTTTTTGGATGTACTGAATGAGAATATAAGTCAGTGTTTTAGTGTACTTATTGGTCCCTGTTGTGATATTTGAGGAAGATTTTGAGGTTCAGGGATAGAATGTGAATCTATTCAAATATTTCTTTCTATGGGTGTGCTGTTGGGTTAGTTCTCTGGACATACAGTATGTACTTTAGACACTCTGTACCATCACGCTTTGGTTGCTACTTTGTGGCTTTTAGCTTGTTTTCTTGTCCCTTTTAAGAAATAACTGACGGGGGTGAAACTGCATTTGGAGTGATGATTACTTTCTAAGTACTACCTATTTGTGCCTGGTTTCAAAACCTGGGCTTATATTTGAAGCAGAATCTTTTTTCCTTGGTGTGAGTGAATAAATTGTGGGCTCAGTCTGTAGACACCGTGACTTAAAATCCTTAACCAAGAGGAAGACATGGCCATTTCTGATGAACTACACTACCTGGAAGTTTACCTGACAGATGAATTTGCCAAAGGAAGGAAAGTGGCAGACCTTTATGAGCTAGTACAGTATGCTGGAAATATTATTCCAAGACTGTAAGTGTGTATATTTTTTAAGCGGGTTTCTTTGCAAGTTGGTGAATACTGACCGGACTCGGAGTCTGATGATGGTTGATTCTGCCTTCTTGCATGATAGTGAGACTTCATTTTGTAATTGTAAATAAAATCTCTGCATATCTTGAGTGGAGTCTTATGAAACTTATGAGATTTGGCGCAAGAACGCAGCTGTAGATATCAGCTTTCATTCTATAATGTTCTGGGTTTTTTTGTCTTCATTTTACCAAAGAAGATTGAAGCACTTCAGCTCTTGCTCTAATAGGAGGCATTAAAAGCTGACTAAATGTCTAAACAAATAATGGGGCCTAGATGATAATTAATTTCTTCCCATGGTCTGGTAATAGTCAGAATATGAGAAGTGGGCAGTTGCCTTCAAATGTGCTATTGTATTATTATGTTACAATACAAATGTGTTATTTGATTCTGCCTTTTGCAGATATCTCCTGATAACAGTAGGTGTTGTCTATGTCAAGTCATTTCCGCAGTCCAGGAAAGATATCTTGAAAGACCTGGTGGAGATGTGCCGTGGAGTACAGCATCCTCTGAGGGGCCTGTTTCTTCGAAACTATCTCCTGCAGTGTACCAGAAACATCTTGCCAGATGAAGGCGAACAAACAGAGTAAGAAAAAACAGCCTGAAATTTTAAGATAATTGTTTTCTAGAGAGTCCTTTTTTTTTCTGTATTACTTCAGGTTTGAAAGAAGTAGATTTGTGGGTTAAAGTCAGAACTCCTTAGACTTGACCAGTGTTTTGTATTCAGACTGTGAAGTTTCTCTTCCAATACTAAGATTCTTTATGCTCATTGTATATAGTGAGGATGAGAACCTTCCTTAAACCCAATTTAGCTCTTAAACCCAACCCCTACTATGCACTTTCCCGTACCCCTTTTTCAATTCCTAAAAATTGAATGTCTACAAATGGATAAAGAAGCATATCTTTGGAAGCTCTTCTTGTTCCCCTAACCTGTTCTCAATTTCAGTGAAGAAACTACTGGAGACATCAGTGATTCCATGGATTTTGTGCTGCTGAATTTTGCTGAGATGAACAAACTTTGGGTGCGGATGCAACACCAGGGCCATAGTCGGGACAGAGAGAAAAGGGAGCGAGAAAGGCAGGAACTGAGAATCCTTGTAGGAACAAACCTGGTTCGCCTCAGTCAGTTGGAAGGTGTTAATGTGGAGCGATATAAGCAGGTAGGATATCTGTACTTCTTTTCCCATTTGTTTATAGCCAATAAAACCTGTTTAGAGTTTAAAGTGAGCAGCTCAGGAAGTGTTAAAAGCTGAATAATTCTGGTGCTTCTAGAACCCCTCTTCACCTGAGGAATTTTTAAATGTTAATGAAGCTGCCTAAAGTGTTGAGGCTGAAGATATTACCTCCTGCAAATGTCTGCAGCATTTACTTGGACTTTTATTATTTTCTGCCCTGATCAACACTATTACTTATCTTTAAACTGACTAGCTTTTTTTGTTTGTGTGTGTACAGTGTACTGTGATAACTTTACAGTTTGAATCAACTTGCACTTCCCGAAGCCAATTGATAGTTAAGACAAATATTCAGAAATCTGAACTGTCTCCTGTAAGCTCCCGTAATGCTGAAATGGTTTTGAGCAGTGTCCCTGAGACCCTGAGCAGTGGCACATGCTGTAAAGTTAGTGTTCCAGGTGTCTTAGTGCCTGCAACCAGCAAAAGTTTCTGAAGGCTGGAGCTGCTGAGCTTGAGGACTATTAATCAGAAAGTCTTTATGTAATATGAAAAATACTAGCATATTGCTTTATTGAATTCAAGGCGTGTGACAATATAAACATAGTGAATCTATGCAAGATTTCTTTCTATTCCAGATTGTTTTACCTGGAATACTGGAGCAGGTTGTAAATTGTAGAGATGCTTTAGCTCAGGAGTACCTCATGGAATGCATCATACAGGTAAGCTGCTCAGATTTAAATGCAGAGATGCTTTTGAGCACTGGGATCCTTGCTCTCCTTTGCTTCTAGTCAGACTCAGGCTGCTCTCACCTCTTCCTCATAGGAGAAACTGGAGGATTTCTTCAATATATCTCCCGTACATTGACTTGACCCACACTGTTTTTCACTAGGTGGGCAGGGTGAATGCATCCGTTATGCCCTCCTGTTGCAGAAGCTTGTAAGCTCTCTGAGTAGCTGGGACTGCAGTGTAAACTGTGAGTAATAGCTAGCTGAAGCATCAAGTTAACCGTTTGTCTTGCATCTCTTGGTTCATACACTTACCAGTCAAAGTTAGCCAGGGAGCCCTGAAAGCTCTGACAGGCTGTATTTATGTGGCTGTCTGCGTTACCATGACTCTTGCATTTTACTACTATGTAACAATGGACAAATTTAATGTATAAATTAATAACTATTGATCTAAAACTTTAGGTTTTCCCAGATGAATTTCATCTCCAAACCCTGAACCCGTTTCTCAGAGCCTGTGCTGAGCTGCACCAAAATGTGAATGTGAAAAATATAATAATTGCTTTAATTGATAGGTGAGTGACCAAGGGGGTGGAAATTGACTGCACAAAGCAATCAATATCTTTTTAGTGTTGGAAGCTTTATTTTTTAATAGTATTTAACTTCACTATTTCCCTGTATTTTTGTCATTATAGCTTAAGCTGAAGAATGATTGCTATTTTTTCAGTAGTTTGTGCTGTCTGGATTCTGCTTTTACAACTATCAGTGGATTCTGCTTCAAGGACTGATGAAATTTGTTTCCTAACTTAATCTGCTTACAAGCTGTTTAGGTTTGAATTTCATGTTTCAGAGCAAAAGCAACAATTGTGATCTGTTCTGGCAACCATATGTCATAGGTATATTGTATGAACTTGAATTATAGTAATGGCTAATCATGTATCTAGGGTAGTTTATCTTTTGATTTTAATTGGAGAACATAACGTGTGCCTTCATAGAAGAACAAGAAGCTAATTGGAAGTGAAGTATTTAATTATTAGTTCATTACCAGCTTCATGCCAGTTCTCCCAAAAGATTCTGTTCCTCACGGAGGTCCTATTGAAAACTGCTAATGTTAAATAGGGATATTAGGGTGAAATCTTACCTTCTTTTTTCCTGCTGGTTTAATGATTTGTATCTGGGCAGTAAAACTAGGCTGACTGAGCTCTGCTTTCTGTATTGCTAGGTTAGCTTTATTTGCACATCGTGAAGATGGACCAGGCATCCCAGCAGATATCAAACTTTTTGACATCTTTTCGCAGCAGGTTGCTACTGTTATACAGGTATGTAGGGTATTTTTGCATGCAACTCTTTTGTCCTTTTTTTTTCTGTCTTTCAAAATTATGGGTTTGTTTTGTGTGTGGTTTTTTTTAAATAACTTGGTACTTCCTTAAATTTCAGTCTCGCCAAGATATGCCCTCAGAGGATGTGGTATCTTTGCAAGTTTCTCTCATTAACTTGGCAATGAAATGCTACCCAGATCGTGTTGACTATGTTGATAAGGTGTTGGAAACAACTGTGGAAATATTCAATAAACTTAATCTGGAGCAGTAAGTAAATGCATCTTGCGTTCTTTCTGAAGCCGTTGTTAATATTTTGACCTTAAGATCTTGACTAGTCTGCTGTAAAGTGTGTCTCCTTGCTGCCTTGCAAAGTATGATGAAATGTGAGATTATTGCTTTTGGACTGAGCTCCAGGAGACTATGATAGGTGACGGTGGGAAGGGCCTGATTAACCTAGACATTACTCTGTGCATAAATCTTGCTGAGGGCTATACAGGTATGTACACAATGTGTACGCCCAGCTCTGTGTAGTCATTATTCATTCCGTAGAGCAAGAGGCAGTTTTCATTTTGTTCTGTTGGCAGCTGAAGTCTCTGCTTCTGATGTCTGCAACTGTACACACATCCTAGAAAGCAAGACGTGATTTGTTTGATACTGTATTTCCTATCTGGAAGCAAGTAGTTTAGGTGTTATGGTGTTTATCAGTTGGTGCTGAGGCAGGCTTTTCTTCTAAATATGCGTGAGCAAGTAATCAATAACTTGTTTTGCATATATTTTTGTCTAGTATTGCAACAAGCAGTGCTGTTTCAAAGGAGCTGACGAGACTTCTGAAAATTCCTGTTGATACTTACAACAATATTCTGACAGTTTTGAAACTAAAACACTTCCACCCCCTCTTTGAGTACTTTGATTATGAATCCAGGAAGAGCATGAGTTGTTATGTGCTTAGCAACGTATTGGATTATAACACAGAAATTGTGTCTCAAGAACAGGTATGATGCAAGTCAGTTTCTGTAGTGATTTTAGATGTCTTAAATACTGTTTGAGGACTTGAAAGCAAACACCAAATGACCTCATGTAAGATATGCTCTGCGTTTCCTCCTATCCCTGCCTCTATCTTATGAGCACAGGCTATATCCCACTTGATTCCTCTGCCCTTGTCCTTAAATATTTTTCACGTGTATCTTGCCAAATCTCATACCAGAGGCTATTTTTTCTTAACGTTGGCAAAGACATGGGATTTCTCTAAAGCTAGGCCTATTGCCTTAAGTCTGGATGGGTCTTTTGAAATAAGAGTTGCCTTTGTACAGCCATTCTGTTCCCACTGTGCTAAGAGGACCCTTCTTTGGGGAGTGAAGCAACTAAGTTCTAAAACATCAGCAACTAGTGAATTTCTAGTGTTCTGTCAGTACTACAAATTTTTTAGGAAGATTTTCATAATGGCTCATAACCTAGGCTCATATATGCTGATCCAGTTTAAACTGAGCTTATGTTGCCTTTCTTTAACAGGTTGATGCTATCATGAATTTGGTATCCACCCTGATCCAGGATCAACCAGATCAGCCTGCCGAAGACCCTGATCCTGAGGACTTTGCTGATGAGCAAAGTCTTGTGGGAAGATTTATTCATCTCTTGCGTTCAGATGATCCTGACCAACAGTATCTGGTATGGGATCGGTGTTCCTGAATAATGCCATGCAAAATATCTTTTTTTTTTTTATTACTTGCTGTAAAAGGATTTAATATATTTGGGAGTTGGGCCATCACTGTTAATTCTAGAATTATCTAGAATGCTAATTCTAGAAACTGCAGAACTCCACGGGTTTGAAGGCAGCCTGGAGATGCTGGATTGGAGATTGCTTAAACCAAACCACTCCTTTGAACCAAACAACTCAGAAGCTTGGATAGGCACTCCTGAGTGATCATCCGCAGTGTGCCTGGGAAATGAAGCTGACTGTCCATTTTTACTTCTTAAATTGCAGTGATATCAGACCGCATAAATGGGGGACAAGCATGAGGCAGACCAGCATAGCACATTAAACACAGCTCTGTGTGGTATTTTTGTTAAATGCAAGCTCAGGCAACTTAGGTTCTGGCTAGTGCAGCGGGATGAGTCTGTAGTTAACATAGTACTGTTAATGTTGCTAATACCTATGTGTTAAGCAGCTGTGGGGGAATTTTAGATAAAAGGCAAAGTTACAGATTGTATAGACATTTAAATCAAATAGTCCCTAAATATGTTGTCATTTATCTGACACTAACTCAGTCTTTGTTCCTGTATTTAGAATGTGGATTATTATGGCTGCAAGTGCCATGCCTCTTTTTGCAGAATTCTGAGCTGTTTATCCTTCTCTTTTAGATCTTGAACACTGCTCGGAAACACTTTGGTGCGGGTGGGAACCAGCGTATTCGTTTTACGCTGCCACCGTTGGTTTTTGCGGCGTATCAGCTTGCTTTTCGCTACAAGGAGAACTCCAAAGTGGTGAGCTGAGTTCAAGTTATCTCTTATTTGCTTCCTTTTTGCTTTCCTGGGACACCTTTGATCTTGCAACCACTAACAGTGTACAAAGACTTGATGACTAAGTAAGGAGACTGACTTCTCTTAAAGCAGATGTAAAGGATTCTTATATTGAGAAGGATTTTTATCACTTGAGGAATGATGAAGCAGAAACTGGCCAGTGCCTTTTGCTTGATAGGCTGGCCCATTGCATGTCTCTTTCAATGCAGGCCATAGGACTAGGATATTGTGGATGATGGCTTGAAACTGATTTAAGTCCAGGTACCACTTCACGAGCCTCTATATCTGTAGCTTAGCCTTGGTACTACTTCCCAAAGCAAATGTTTCTGTTCTGCTACTTTATATAGCAGTTGCAGAAGTGCATATGCAAAAACAAAAAAAATTGTTCTCTGTGGGCAGTGCAATGCTTTCTGATGAGTTACCTTAAAAGTGTATTTTCTCCTTATTGTAGTGATATATAGCAAGGAGGTAAATTAGAAAATTATTTTTAATTAATCCTTTAGAGTGAGTGTTCAGAACTCTTCTGGTTAATCCTCCAACAAATTGACTTTTTTCATTATTTTTTATTTTATTCTTCTACAACTCTGCTTGTTAGGCTCTTGCTCATTTGTGTTCAAGCATGGTTCTGGTAACTGCAGCTCAGTGTGGACATCTGAGAAAGGTTTCCGTGAGTTAGTAGGGAAAAACAGATGACCTTTCCATAAACGGAAGTAGAAGTACTTTGTGAAGACTGCTGAAGTTGGCAGAAAACTTGCAAGGGTACTCGTGGCCAGCCCCTTCTGCCCCAATGAACGACTGGGGTAGCATGCAAAATATGAGATTGGAGCATGAAACAACTTTTACTATAACGTGGGATTTCTTTATAGCAATAGACTTGAAGTTTGGGCTTTTTTTCTCCAGGATGACAAATGGGAAAAGAAATGCCAGAAGATCTTCTCGTTTGCTCATCAAACCATCAGTGCTCTGATCAAAGCAGAACTGGCAGAGCTGCCTCTCCGGCTCTTCCTTCAAGGAGCACTGGCTGCAGGAGAAATTGGATTTGAGAATCATGAAACTGTGGCATATGAATTCATGTCCCAGGTGAGAATGTCCCATCACTATAGTCATTTTTGCGTCTTAAATCTGGCTTGTTTCAGCTTATTCAGCTGTCTAGTGGGATTAAAAATCTGAAATGATTGACAGTTAATGCTAGTGGGTAGAAATTCCTGATCTTCATTCTTGCTTCCCAGACCACTATGGAATTTAAGCTCCTTTGCTACTGATTTGAATACTCAGCCTGACAACATGTGGTATGTTGCCTCCTACTCCGTCTGTTCACTGGAGGAATGTAGCTTTCCCAACATAAAATATTCCTTTATTCTGAGATCTTTTCCCAACTCCTCTTGTCTGGCCGATATTTTCTTGACCACAAGCGCTTTTCAAAGGGTGTCTGAAACTTGCAGTGTTCACATCTGTCATGATGGACTTTGCTAATAAAAGCTTTATAAATTATGTTCTGAAATCCCACTTAACCTATAGTTTCGTTTGTATTTAAGCTTTACTGGTTTCAAGCACTTCCTTAGGAACCCCTTTCATCAGATATCTAACCAGTGTATTTCATATTTTGTGTTACCCAGGTTTCAGGTATTGTTATAATCTTTCTTCTAATACTGCTACAAATGCACACTCTTCAGCTGAGTCTCTGATAACCCTGTGGCTTTTTTCCACTGTCTTGTACCAGCTGGCTGTGGTACTACTCTGGAGGCCAAATAGCATAACAGTTGCATACCTTGTGTTAGATGCCCAGTCCAGCATAGTCATGTGGATTCTTTCAAGGCTCTTCATCCACTCAGCAGCAGTGCAAATATTCTCATTGCTGACCTAATACAACTTCTGCCGTACAGCTTTTGTCACTTTAAGACACAAATCCATTTAAAGGACTATTTTGGCTATTTAAAGTTATTTTATTTAAATAGATGCTGAATGAGGAAAGCTTCATTCTTCAGATAACATGTTAAGGAGTAATTCTTCAAGCGGTTATAACCAAACATACCTTTTGCAGAATTTTTTTCAGTCTATGTCTTTAACCTCATTCTAACAGTGTCTATGAAATCTCTTCTGCCTGAATTATGTAATGATTATAACACTGCAGGCACTTTGTCACTAGCAACTATGTTGTTTTTTTCTAATGTTGCTTTAAAGTGGTGATTAAGACTCTTGTCTCTTCCCTTGAGTAGGCCTTCTCTCTGTATGAAGATGAAATCAGTGATTCAAAAGCACAGCTGGCTGCAATCACCTTGATAATTGGGACCTTTGAAAGGATGAAGTGCTTCAGTGAGGAGAACCATGAACCTTTGAGGACTCAGTGTGCACTGGCAGCTTCTAAGCTACTTAAGAAGCCAGACCAGTGTCGGGCTGTGAGCACTTGTGCCCATCTGTTTTGGTCTGGCCGGAACACTGACAAGAATGGAGAAGAGGTAAGAAGATTAAAGCCACAACGGCGTGATGCGGATCCTACCTCAACCACACCAGGGCCTCCCTTCTGAAGTGCTGATGACTGTAGCATAGGCTTGACTGGAATTTACTTTAGTATGAAGCTTCTAGATCTCACTGCTGTAGAAGCTATGTAAATGCTTCTGTAAGTGGAAAAGCTCAAGTTGAAAAGCGGATGCACTGTGCGAGCTTTTGCAACAGTCAGCTAGCTTGCCTCTCAAAGTCCAGTCTGTTCCTTTAACTGCATCTTGCACGTGGCTGCAAGCTCGCTGTGTTGCACTTCAAATTCAAGGTAGAAGTTGTAGAAGTCAAAAGCAGATCATACGGTCTGCAGGGCTTCTCAAACAAATGGCTTGTATCTATAAAGAGCAGTTAACTTTGCTTCTGAGTGCATTTGTGTATTTGTTATTTAAAAAATGGAACTTAAAAGGCTTCTAACAACTCTGTTTATATTACTACCTGATTTGAGCATAAAACTTAGCCAAACAGGTAACAGCCAGGAACGGTAAGCTTTTAATGAGAGCCTTATGAACAGCTTGTGTAGTTTTGTGCTCTCTCTTTCTGTGGCAGATGACCAGGAAATGCATGTGCGTACAAGGTGAAGTGATATTGGACTCAAAGGTGGGTTTTTTTCTTCATTTCTTGTAACCCAATTTTTCTTCCTTCTAGCTTCATGGGGGAAAACGAGTGATGGAATGCCTGAAAAAGGCCTTAAAGATAGCAAATCAATGCATGGACCCTTCTCTGCAAGTCCAGCTCTTCATAGAAATTCTGAATAGATACATCTATTTTTATGAAAAAGAAAATGAGGCGGTGAGTGAAAAATATTGTATCTTCTCTTAACTAAAAAGCATTTCTTGAAGCTTTTCATTCTCATTTATACGGTGATTATGTGCATTTGACTTGGTCTGCTGTCCCTCATGAGAGGTACAAATTCTGGCAATATGGACAGTCGGTTGAAAGAAAAACACTGTATATTTCCTTGCTATGAAGGAATGAAAAGGAAAAAGTATTGAAAGGAAAAAGTATTTGCAGTCTAGTTCTGAACTTAATTTATGAGTTGGATACCTGAATATTTTTAACAAAGCCATGTTATACTCGAAGGCTTACAGCTTTCTAGTTTTAGAAGTACATAATTTTCTTTACCTTATTATGCATGTAGTTGTTATAACTGTTTAAGGTCACAAATGATTAGTGTAAGCTTTAATTTCCAAAAATTAGCAGGACTTCCCATGTACCAGTTCAAGGTCTGCATGTGAATTTTTCAACTAAAATACGTAAGGTGACAAGTAGCAGACTTGTTTAAAAACAAAACAGAAAAATCTGCATGATCAAGTACAGATGCACATTTTTGCTTGATCAGGAGCAAATGTTAATGAACACCCTGTGGTGACAATCTCTAAAGAGACTCTAGGGATTTGCTAATATCTTCAAAGCTCTACTGTAGCAGGAAGCCAGTTCAGTTGCTGCAGTGTAGGAGATGCCGTCTGATAGCAATTAAAATTAAATTTGAGTTACAAAACACTTAGCAGATTTGTAAGAATAATTTCTGGATACAGTGGTGGTCTACAACATGTTTTAAGAGGGTGTTTTATATAATTCTCATCTTGGCAGCATAGGCAGCTGTGCCATTCTTGGATCTAGTCATTTTTTAAGGACAATTTGTACTATCAATCTGATGTTGATCTTGACTGTCTAAAAGAAATCTATTATTAGAGTATACAGGAAAAAAGTGCCTTATTCGTTCAAAGTTTTTTATATATCGAATCGTTGGAGAGAAATGGTTTAGTTGCAAAGCTGTTGGGCTAGTAAGTAACATATAAACTCTTTTGGGAGTATGAGAGTTGCTTTCAAAAAATTTCTGAAGTGGGTATTGTGCCCCCTGTGAGGACCAGAGAAAGCAGAACCTAGAGTCTTGCCAGTCATCCTGCTGAGAACTAGTGCTGGTAGTTCAGAGACAAGTCTGTTAACAAGTGTTTGTGTACGTGTACAGTGGTCTTGTTGACACCTTTGGTTCTGTGTGTGTACCTTCTATAGGTGACAATTCAGGTTTTGAATCAGCTCATACAGAAGATTAGAGAAGATCTCCCAAACCTTGAGTCTACTGAAGAAACAGAACAAATTAACAAACATTTTCACAACACACTGGAGCACTTGCGTCTGAGGAGGGAATCGCCAGAATCTGAGGGGCCAATTTATGAAGGTCTTGTCCTTTAAAGAAGACATACACTGTACTTGTTTCTTTTCGTTTACATACCATATGTTTTTTTAAGATAGATTCATAGATTGTGCCTTTCAGAAATGTCAAGTTAAATTAACGTTCATGTGTTCAGTCTGGCACTTCAAACACTTGTGTTGAGTACCCTAACAAATGTAAAAGGTTGGACCAGCGACTACAGGTTTCATCAGCTAGCATGACTGAACTTTTCTTTGAATTCATGTGACATGATAGGGCCCTTCAGTTCTGATTTCTTTTCTGTCTGTTCACTGTTGCTTCAGTAGCACTAGTTTTAATCTGGCAGTGACTGTCATGTGAAACTGCCAGACTTCTATGGAGCATCAGATTTTTGGAATTATTGTATGTCAGATTCCGCTTGTGCTTTTTTTTAATGCAAGTTAAGACTAAGTGTAATATTTTTCCCTAAAACTAGAATATATTAATGCATGTTTGGAGAATTTTAAACTACCATGTTCAAAACAGAAGTTATATTTTGCATATTAAGGCTCTGTGACACTCAGTGAGGGCCAGTATTGTGCACAGGGCATATTTATCAAGATAATTTTGTTCCAGATAGAGAAATTGCAATCTATATAGAATATGTATAACCTTCATTACTGTAAATTTAGGGGAAAATCCATTACACGAGTTTATTCAATATCATGATTTTGCACCAGTGAAACAATAAAATTGCTATTAACATCGTTTGTTTCTTGTCTTTTCAAAGGCCAGTGTTGAATCTAGTACCACCTTGTCATTAAAAGCAAAGCAACTTATGCCTTGAAGGGACAGAAGCAAGACATAGTTAACTCCCAAGCTGGGAGGCTCATAGTTCTAATGTGTAGGTATAATCACTCAAAACTAACATACATCCTCTCAGCGTATTTGGAAGAACGTTCATGTGTCAGAATGTTTTTCTGATGTACTTGGTGATGGAGAATCTTACCAGACTTTAGGTGTGTGTTAGACAAATGGCAACAAAGGTCTAGAACCTGGAGTACAACAATTGTCAGTGACAGCTGGTGTGAAGACCGAGTGGGCTTGTAAACTAGCACTAATTGCTGGCGACTTAATTCATGTGTCTCAGAAATTTAAATTAAGGCAAAACGGACTTGAACTTGCTCCTTGAGTTGACAGCTGTTACGTTATCCTTCTTTGCGTGATGAAACGGTGGAGATTGTTGGGGATACCTAATAACTTAGTGCTCACCAGCTGGTTTTGAAGAGGCAAGTCTTATTCTGTGATTTGGAGAGTACACAACCAATTAGGCTGTTCTTCTACTTGATAGATCTATATCTTATAAGTGCAGTCTTTTCACAAGAAAGGAAATAAAACTTGGAAAAATTCAAAGGTGGGTAGCAAGCGTGATCAATGGCTTCAGTTTAAAACATGTTAGTTTAAGCTAGGAGTGCTTGGTTCAGGATGTCCAGAGAAGTCAGGAAGTATGGAAAGATCTGTTGACTTGCTCCTTTCAGCATAGGAGCTACTGTTAAATGAAGCCAAATATGCATGGGAAAAAGGTAGCCTGTCAAATGACTGAAGTGATGTGTTTCTTTGTGTCTTAAAGCTACACAGTTAAGACTCTTGCACAGCTCTGAATCACTTTTATTGAAATTTTACATAGTAAATTTCAAAATAATATGTAAATTCTAAGATCAACTATGTGAACATGCATTTTGGCTGTGGTGATGGCTGTGGTTCAATAGCTATCACCCCTCTTGCCAGCAAAGGGGAGCACCTCAAACCACAGAAGATGCTTGTGAGGCTGAGGACAAAGTTCTTGCTGTTGGTGTTGAAATGATCACCTCTTGTGTGGGGTGAATCTAGACAGCAGTCAAGGTCTAGCTGTGTGAATCTCTTGTGGCAGAGGCAGGAGAGTAGAAAACAGAATAAGCAACCAAGTAGTGTGTGGTGGGTGTTTTTTGTTAGTTTTTGCCACTTGTGGTGCAAGATCATTTTAACAGACTTGGGGTCATATTATTTGTGAGGTCTCATGTTACAGTGGGACTCCAAACACTTGGAGTAATATTGTCTGTTAAACTATCCAGTACGGGATGGGTAGCTCTAGTAGGTGGGCAAAAAAAACACATTTGTACTGGTTATATTTGTGAAATCTAACTTTGTCATGATTGTTCTTTTTGGCACTCTTTCGGGTGATGGTGTGCTAGACTTCAACTGTTGGTGGCATTACCCCCTCCCCCGAACTGACAAATAATGGACTTGATTCCTTGTGATTTCTCTAGCAACATGAGTCAACTTTATGCTCCTACTGAAAGATGCATTTTTTCTTGAAATGTGGTTTTTTTTCCGTGTGTGTGTATGTGTGTGTATATATATGTATTTACATCAAAACATGAGGATGAATTTTGGCTTTTCCTGGACACAGGAGTTTTATAAAAGCGCTTCTAAAGCTAATGTGGCACAGTGGATACAGAACAGGATTAATGGCTGAATTCACCCACAGGAGCCAAAATGAAGCCTCATAAAGTGAGTAGTGTACACACTGCCCATGGCAAGCTGCTCTAATGATCATCAGGAGTGTATATGGAGCCCAGCACACACCAAACACACAAACAATAATTGCTAATGACTTTGCAACTCTTTTATCCCGGGAAAGTCTAAATTTATTTGTCATAATGTTGGCAGTGTCCCCTCTGCTCATGGTGTTGCATGTACTTTCTCTGGTTTTGAATAAAGTGTTTCTGCGTGGTTTGGGCTTGACATCCACCTGAAGTGCTGGAAGGTCTTGACTGACATTTGTATTTAATGACTTGCTACCAAGCTTATGCAGGCTAAACTTCAAAGCCTGGGGTTTAGGGAGAGAAAGGCTGTTTGCTCTCTCTTCATGTTTGTGTGTGTTAGCAGATTTTACAAAAAATATGTTATGTTCCCTTTTCTTCCCCTGGAAATTCACTTCACAGTCGTCTTGACCAGGTGGTAGATTCTCACTTCTGAAGGAGGTGCGCTTCCTGATGTTGAGGTAGATACTTACATTAAAGTACGTAACAGTAACGAAAGGTGTGAAGAATTCAATAGTAGATGCGATCATTAAGAAATACCAGTTATAGAAAAACTCTGCATGACATTCTCCTTCAGGGAGGATGCTTTTTTGGGCAATGTGCTCCCAGCTGAGGATGGCTGGACCATAGAGAAGAAAAGCAGCAATCCATACAGTGACCATCTTCAATATTGCACTTCTGGTCATCCCTTTCTGAGCCCTGTAATTCACCTGAGAGGGAGAAGTTGTCGTGTATGTTAGTACTGTGTCAATGACATAGTTCCTTGGGGATCTTAGAAGGTAGCCCCCTTTTATTTTTGACAGTTGACAATACTACCTTGGCATGAGGGTGAGGGTTATACTAAGCAGTACTAGCACTAAAGAAAAGGTCTTTCTGCACTGTCTGTTCCAACAGACATTGGAATTTGAGAACTTTAATCAGATCTTAAAAGCTAGAAAACAAAGGCTTTTCCAAAGCAAATACCACTGCACTTCCTATAACCAGCTGTCACTATTTACATATTCTTAAATGAGCTGTTGCCTGTTTTTAGAACATTTAAAAAATATGGCCCCTCAAAATGTATATACATATTTTAAATTAAATGACTTAAACCTTTTATAATCTGAGTTCACTGAATAACCATGCAAAATCTTCCACTTTGTATAGAGACAGCTTACAATGCATAACTTATAATATGAAAATATGAAAATAATGTGAAAAACACCAAAAATACAGATAATAATTTCATTTGTTTATGGTCTCCTTTGTTTCATTCTTTTATTCAACATATATTTGTAATTGAGACTTATAGATGGAGTGTTGTGGTTTGCAAAATAGAGGGAGAGTAATAAATTGCCTTGTTTATAAAGTAGAGGATCTAAGGTATAAAACAGGTTAGAGGTATTTGTGAGTAGCTGTGAGTCAATGAGGTATGTGAGTAATAAAATTGAGTAGAATCACAACGGAACACTGCCCGATTCCCTGGTTGATTGAAGAGTACTTGTATAAGGAACCAGAATCTGTCTTTGTAGCTACAGCAGCAAGCACTGTGAACTTTTGTTTCTGAAGCAACAAATACTATCTTTCATTTGAGAAAGGGACCTGGGCTAGTTGAGTTTTAGGTGTGAACTTACGTGATGTGTTGGAACATAAGTCTCAACCCCAAATTCTCTGTTTAAGGTTCATTTCATTCAATAGTATTCTGGTAGAATTCCCCGTGCAGCTGAGATCCCTGTGTATTTTTTTCCCCTGAATCATGAAAAATGATTCACGATCGTGATTATGAATGTAGGAAGATAAAGGCTTTCACTAATGTAGAGGACAATTTAGAACACTTCTGTTTTAGAACACTTTTGTGTTTATACTGCCTGAACATAATAGGCGGCTTCTCTACTCTTGGTTTGGGAATAAGTTTTATTCATTTGAAACATTTGAAAGTGACTGAACTTCATCTAGTAACTAGTTTCCCTGTTTCTGAAATTATCAAATCTATATATTTGTACTATGTGTATAGTCATCAGAGTTTGGATTGTGAAGATAAATTTGTCGCTAATAACAATACCTAGAAAATAAAAGCATTAAATAAAGCTTAAGAATTAATCTGGTCATTTCTCCCTCTTGAAAAAGACTTTAACACAGACATAAGTGAGCTCAGAGCCTCTTTCTTTTTTTTAGGTTTCTTTCTTTTTAGGTTTGCTAAAAACCTATTACTGCCTCTTGGGGTGATTTGTACTGAATACAATAAATGCTTACAAGAAATGTAGGTAGAGCAGGGCTATGAAGAACAACCAAGCGTGGTGTGTATAAAACAAGACTTATGGCAGCAGATAAAACATGTTATTTCAACAGGATCTAAAATACTTAAGAGGCTGTATGAGCCTCTTAATGAAGTTAGTGAACTTAATGAAGTTAGTGGGGGGACGGGAGAGATGTGAGGGGTCCCATCTAATTCTCTTTTGATGGCTAATGTGCTGCATGACCAAGGCAAGGCTCTTTCTGCAGCTGTTGAAGGGAAATAACATTTCCTTCTTTTGAAGGATGATACTGACTGGTCTGCCACTTCTGCGCCATTTACATCTGACAAGGACATAAATACACCCACCTCCCTTTGCCTTACTTCCAGCATGGACCAAATGCCTCTCAAACAAGGGAACTCTTTCCAGTGTGAAAGGAGGGGCAAGTGTTTCTAGTTCTGCCAGACTCCTTTGCTTCTGGAAACACTTCCATGATCAAAGGGAGCAGCTGGATCTCCTGCAACTCCTGGGTTGTCACAAAGCCCGTGTGGGAGCCAGGTGCCCTCAGAAGCAGGACCTTGTGCTAAGGAGCCCCTTGGAGCTGCTGCAGCCCCTGGGGGCTGCCCCTGGCTCCCTGCTCTGCTCTCCCTGGCCCCGCGCCAGCCTTACCGCCCTGGTGACCGAGACGAAGCGGTCAAAGCTGATGAGGACGATGTTGAAGACGGAGGCGGTGCACACCAGGTAGTCCACCACGAGCCACAGCTTGCAGAGGCCCCGGCCGAGCCTCCACTCTCCCGTCAGCACGTAGGGGATGTAGAGCGGGATGCAGAAGCCGCCTGCGGGCAGAGCGGGGCCGTAAGGAGCGCGGCGTCGCGCCCGCCGCCCCCCGCCCGCGGCACTCACCCACCAGCAGGTCGGCGAGGGCCAGGTTCAGGAAGAAGAAGTTGCCCTGCGTGCGGAGACTCCGCTCCACCGCGAACGCCAGCACCACCAGGGCATTGCCCAGCACTGTGGCCAGCACCAGCAGCCCCATGAGCGCCGCCAGCAGCGCCGCGGCGCCCACCGAGAAGGGCCCGGCCGCAGCGCACGGGCTGCCCGCCGCCCGCGGGCTGCCGGACTCGTTGAGCCACGGCCCGTCCTGGCCCATGGCTGCCTCCCCGCTGCCGCCCGGCCCGGCTCGGCTCTGCCGCCGCGGGCGGCGGGAGCGGCGGCCCCGGCGGCAAAACTTCCCCAGCCCCGCCCCGAGTCCCGCCCCTGCCGGGCCGCGCGCTCCTCGCGCCAGCGCGGCCGTGAGGCGACAGGGAACGCTCGCAACGGCCGCCCGCGCGCCCCTAACGGCCGCTGTGCAGCCTCCTAACGGCCCTCGCGCCTCCAACGGCCGCTCTGCAGCCTCCTAACGGCCCTCGTGCCTCCAACGGCCGCTCTCTGACCTCCTAACGGCCCCCGCGCCTCCAACGGCCGCTCTGCAGCCTCCTAACGGCCCCCGCGCCTCCAACGGCCGCTCTGCAGCCTCCTAACGGCCCCCGCGCCTCCAACGGCCGCTCTGCAGCCTCCTAACGGCTGCTCTCTGGTCTCAATGGCTGCTCTCCGGTTTCCTGCGGTCACCACAGTCCTTGTTTTTCTGACCTGTTTAACCACCCCTCGGGCTTCCTGTGGACATGGAGCGTGTGGCATTCACAGCCTGTGAGCTTCGTTGTGACTGTAGGCAGTTTTGGGGCTCGCTGCTCTTGTTAGGGCCCCTCTGCAATGAAACGAAAACAGAACTTGCTCAAAAAGCATCACCAGATGCACACAATCTTCACTTAGTTCAGCCACCGTTCCACATGTGGTAAACTACTGTGAGAGTGAAGACTTTAATAAATCTGCTGCTTGAAATACCAAAATTCAGGAACAATTACAGGAGCATTCAGCAGAGAAAACTACTCATGTGGACATCAGGTAAAGGCAAACAAGAATTGTTCTTTAATAACTCATCTGTTGTGTAAAGCTTAGCCTGCACTCTCAGCAATTGTGTGCTGGCCTTTTTCCCAGGGAGAAGCTTCAAACCTTTCTCAGTGTTGGGAATACAGATTTTAGGCCAGCCCATCCATATAGGTAAGAATGTCCACAGAGATTTTGCAGTTTGCACCACTTAGGATATGGCCCCTGCCATATGTTAATCCAGAGACAGGAATGGCAGTTGTGTGTGCACTGTGTAGTAGCAAACTACTTTTTACATACTCCCGTATTATTACATCCTAAAGCAAGTGGGGAAAATGGCAGGAATGCTGAAGCCTTCACTTATTTCCACAGTGATTATTATTGCCTAATCCAGGGACTTATTTCCACTTCCTTTTGAGACAATTGGCAGTTTTGCCATCCAGAGCACGATCACACTTGTTGATAATTGCTATCTGCTTATGCTGTGCAATCCAAAAAAGATAAAATTAAAAAAAAAAAGGCAGACAAGAGATGCAAAGAAAATAAGTATTCTAATCATCAGGAAAACGTGGGAGAATTAATTTGTGCTTTCAAGAATTGTTATTATATTCTTCAACTCCTCTAAAGCAGTTTTCCAGCCACATAGTGAGTTTGCCCCATGTGCCCTTGTGTACTGTATTAGAAGTAGCTTTTGTAGGGTATTACCTACCAGTAGATTTTGAGATTCTTGATAAAAAGCAAAATAGCCAACTTTGTTGTGTTCTGATGGTTCTTTTGCGCTGCTGCTTTGAAAAGGGATGATGTCTGCAAGTCTGACCAAATTCCTCTAAAAAATGCCAGTCTGCAGTGCAGCATCATGGGCACTTGCTACTGAAGACTCTGCAAGTGGTGTCCGGGGGCTGTTGCAGTTGCCACAGTCAAACATGCAGTAGGTGCCCAGCTCTCTGAGAACATGAGGTTTTACAAGTGCAGGCTTTAAGCATTTTAATTTCCCTGAAAAAGGTCGGTTTTTTCATGTCCAGTCACTCTCCTGTTTATTGAGCTCCGTTGATTTTCTTTTAAAAACACAAATTCTTGTGAGAAGAGCTTCACTTTATTTGGAAATATATTTTGTGGTGGTTTAGGCTAATAGATGCAGGGGGGAAACATTTTAAAATATTTGTTTGAGAAGAGCTGTATGTGCCCGGCTCCAGTCGATGGCTCTCGGATGAATTAAGTGCTAGGCGATGCAGGATATTTTTGTAAAATGTCTTGTGTAGACTAAATTGTACATTTGTGAAAACGTACTTTGTTCCTGATCTTGTTGCTTATCCTATCCTTGGACAAAATACATAGTTTGTTAGAACTGATAAATAAAACAATGGCACAAGAAAATAATGAAAAAACAGCACTTACATTGATGCTGACATGTAATTAACTTTTTTTTACCCTATGATTTCTTTAATCATAATTGTTTTTCACTTTCATATGACTTCCCTCAGTGTTTTTTCAGATGGAGAGCTATCTGAATCATGCTGTTGCCTCATGACTGCAGTCTATGTGGGTGAGTGTATCTACCAAAACGACAGAAAAACAGCCTGTTTTTTTTTCCCACACCACAGACAGATAACACTTTTCCCAGAGCAGACCAAACTCACTTCCACATAGACATGAACAACTGCACTGCGAGGGGGTAGGTTCTAGCTGGCTGTACATCCTATTGATTCCAAAGATGCAGGAGAACTTCCTCAGCTAATTTCTTCTTTGAAGTATGATTAAGGCAGCAAGCACACTCACTTGGATCCTTCTGAATCTGAACTCAAAAGTAACTTGTGCCATTTACCATTCTGTACATTCTGTATGTAACGTTTCTGAACATTCTGTATGTAATGTTTCTTTCTCCATTTGTCCTTTTAAAGGTATTTAGATTTTATCCAATATTCCACATGGAAGGTAACTCTCTTTCAGTAGCATTATCTGGTATGGGATCCAATAGCACCAAAGCCATGCATTGAAACCAACTCCATAATGAAGTCCCTTGGCTCCTACAAGCAAACAGGAATAAGGGATCCCAGTGGTACCAGAGTAATGTGGCAATGGGGCTGCTCTGCCCCTGTTCTGGCTGTGGGTGATTTTGGGATTCCTGTGTCACTTCCAAGTGAATCCATACAGATACCACCTGAGACCACCTTTGTGTTTGGCTTTGTTGCTAGAATTACTGTTTGTCAAGAAACAGGAATTGTGCAATTAATCTGGACTGTCTTCATGAAAGTGGATCAGAGACTTGGAGTGGATTTCGATCAGTGCCCTAGGAAGATAAGACTACAACTGAGATATCAGAAATAGTTATCCTATAGGCAATGCTTCAAAGTTATACCAAAATTATATTAAAAAAAAAAAAACTTTGTATATATAGCTATGATGGTTCTCAATTTTGTAGACACTACAAACATTTTTTTTTTTTTTTTTTGCTCCTCATGGATACATTCAGCAGCTTCACCTATTATTCCTAATGTCCTTTGCTACTAGTTCAGTAATGCCACATATTTGGCTTTTGTATCTTCCCATGTAGTCTACTTGATGCAGCTATGTTTCACTTGGGCGATTACACTTATGTTGCTGGCATCAAAGGATATCATCACAAATTTGTCTCCTGGGTGGAAGTACAGCACAGAGGACTGGATATTTTTTGGTTGCACTCAGATAGACAGAATAAAAAAAAATCTCAGCAAAAATCCTGACTCATTTCTCTTCCATAGCTCTTTTCTCTTTAATCCTTAGAAAAGTTCCTTCTCTCCCTGTCCTTTCCCTGCTCTCCTTTGCACTGATAGTGTGCAGAAATCTAATCTTGCTAATCTGCTAAGCAACTATCACAGTGCTTTTTTTTTTTTTTCTTTTTTTCCCCATATGGATATAGAAGATCAAAATCTAGTCAGTGTTTCTGACATTTGAATGTACTTGCAAAATACTTCTTTTACCTCAAGTAGATGGCATCCTCCCGAAGTCAACTGAAAGGCATTGCCTGGAAGCCCCAAAAGTCATTTGGTATTTATTCAAAAAGCCAGTGAACAGAAAGCACAAAGTTTTAACAAGTGGCATGCAAAGAGACTTCCTGTTCATCGAGGCTCTGATTTGGTTAGTTATTTAATCTTAACAGATCTGTTAAGTCTCAAAAGGTTATTTATCCAACCTCCAATAACAGGCACTAACTTCTACTAAACTTAAATTTTCTAATAAGCTTTTTATTGTTCTTTAGAGTTGAAAATATACTTTCTGAGACTCTTTGAGCTTTTAAAACTGTAAATATCCATCTCAAACTTATCCCAAACTGAAAAAAGGTGACTAGTACTTGCAACAAAACTAACTATAAGCCACTTTTCATTACAGATGCCAACTCTTGGTTAGTCTGGGGGGTTATTTACTATTCAAGGCATCTTAATGTCAAATGTGAGAGCTGACATGTCTCTCAAAAGGAGAATTGCAAACTTCAGGATCTATGTCTAAGAAATGCTTGATAATAATGAGCCCTTCTATTGCCATAGGATTTTCAGAGTGTAATTCATCACTCCACAAAGCAGCCTGAGAGCTGTGCATTGGTGGCTTAGGAGACTGGCTGCATAGGAGACTGTCAGTTAGAGAGATGCAATTTATATCCAGGCTGAAAGCTGGAAAAAAAATCAGTACAATTTGCTCATAATACATTTGTGGACTGGGGACTAGCAAGGGGATGACAATTAAAGAAAGAGTTGTCATATCATGAAGACTTCATTAGCAAAGGGTAAGTCCCCAATAGGGGACTTTAATAGATAATAGCATTTCTGCTACACATTCATGTGATAATAAAAATGTCCTTTTCTTGATAGTAACATGACCTGGTAATTATCGTTGGTAGGGAGTATCGTGTTCTTAGATCTTCACTGAATTTTGTAATGATTAAACTAGTCTTCAGAGCCGGTTCTAAGTTGGGAATTCCATTAATTTTGACATTCCCTTTTTTTTTTCCTCTTGATTTGATTTATACTTTGTTCCATGTGCCAAGTGACCTTAACCTGCTTACAGAAAAATTCCTTTTATTTTTTAAGCCTTTTGCAAAAGTTTTACACTTTCAGACATGAAATTCTAGGACCTTTCTTTGTCCACATATTCGTTATGTCTGACTCATAAGAAGGGTTGTGACATCTCCCTGCATATTCATAGCCTTATAATCGTCATCACTGCAACCTGGCAATGCAGCCTGAGGCAGCTGCA